GGGGGGGCGGTGCCGCGCGGAGGGGCCGCGCCGCGGCTGAGCGGGCAGAGCTTGCGGGACCGCTGCCGGATTGAGAAGGCGGGCCGTGATTGGACGGAGCGGAGAAAGGCGGGCCGGGATTGGCGGGCCGGACGCTGCCTCGGGCCGGGATTGGCGGGGCTTGGAGCCCGCGGGGCCGTGGCCGCGGGTGGCGGGAGGTGCTCGGGTGGTCGGGCGGAGGGACGACGGCCGTGTTGGAGGGGCCCTGCCCTTGGTCGGGCCGCACTCCCGGGGTCCCGGCTCCAAGGCCCCTGCAGAGCCCCTCGGGGAGCCCCCCACCGGCACACGGGGCGGTTCCGGGTCGCGAAGGCGGACTGTGCGGCATGGGGGACCGGGGAGCAGCGGCGACGTGGTGGGCCGGGAGTCGGCGGCGGAGAGCGGAGAGGACGCAGAGCGGCAGTGCGCCTCTGACCGCCTCTCCCCATGCAGCAGTTCTGCTTCTACGGGGACTTAGACTGCCCCGACTAGGTGCTGGCTGAGATCAGCTCCCTGGCCGAAATCTTTTAAGTGCCCGTCCCCACCCCTATCCCCCTGCCTGCCCCAGGCCCGTTGCCCACCTTCTCCTGCGCAGTGCCCGCTGATGATGAAGCTGATCTGCACCCAGGTATGTAAAGTACGTAAAATCTACTTAATGAAAACCAAAACATCAAACGGTGGATCAATCAAGTTGTGCCCTGGCTGCAGCAGATGCCTGACTGCACTCAGCAAACGGAAGGTGCCTCTGGGGACCAGTGAGTACTCTGGATGCTAATGCTGTCAGAGCTCTAAATCTAAGCTCTCAACGGAGAGATCTGAAGAAGTTGCAGGAAAAGAAATTGCTTTCTGGTTCCTTCAGCTTCAGGAAGCCACAGTGGCAGATGGCCAGATGTGCAGTCAGTTGGCTGCAAGACCTTTAACTCATGGGACCAACAGTTACTGCAGAAAGAAAAATAAAAATCTATCAGAGGAAGTTGTTCACAGATAAAAGTCTTCATGCATGATTCCGTGCAAGTTTCTTTATGCCGTTCCTTCAGTTTTAACTCCATTACAAGTGAAAAAAGCTAGAGTGATATCCCTAGACTGACCATTGCAGCTGAGCTTCTGCTACAGATTCTGACACGTCAGGTGACTGAATGTTTGCTTGTTTTCTAGGCTCTCCTTACAGTCCATCCAGGTCATGAAATATAGAGGGGATTTCTTGACTAGACAGGCAGCTTTTAGATCTCATTCCCTTACCTTCATGGTCAGTCATCAGTGTCACTCTCCCTCTCTTCTTGCTCTTCATCGAGAGTTCCTCGTGTTAGTATTAGCTCAGAGGGACCCATTGCAGAAGCATCAGGTCCTTGAAGGCAACAGAAACGGCTGTACACAAACCAGCTTGCTAAAGGTAAGGTTTCTATCTGCACAGAAACAGAGCAATTAACACCTGCCCTAAGGGGACAGAAAGCTGCTTGTGGATCCCAGACACAGGACAGACTCCATCAGCACCTACTTGCCTCATATAAGGAACAGTGCAGCCAACAGCAGAGCTTTCTCATATTCTAATCTGACGGTTTCACCTTTCCTAAAGTATTTCATTATTTCTAGTAGGTCCACTGCTTTAGCTACACAGCAGGGTTTCTTCCAAACCTATGACTGACACAGGAAGAGTTAAGTGTGACCAATCCCACAGGAACTAAAGCCCCACTCCTCTAACATGGAGCTGCTTTCACACTTCTGCTGTGAGGACAAAGAAGCACTGTATTACTTCACAAGGCAAACTCTTCAGAAAACTTCTGCAGTAAGCTTTATCTTCCTGGGGAGGTACCTGCCAGTGTGCTGCCCTGCACACACACACACTGCCCATGTCCTTCCACAAGTGTTCCAGCTGCTCTCTCTTTTGTTTATTTTGAGCTTCCTTCTGTAGATAAAGTTTTACATGTGGATTCTGAGAACATTTAAAACATCAGAAGACAAACCTCACTCAAACCCAGCCGTCTGTCCCCCAGTCAGAGGGCAGAAGTCACTATGCAGGTCTTACATTTCAACTAAGGTTACACAGAACTTCTGACTAAGCATGGAAAGCAACCTCCAGTAAGGTGGGATTCTAGGACATTTTCAGCAGCACCAGGAAGCCAAACTCTGTGTAGCTGTGCCTGCAGAGAACTGTCGTTTGGACAGCCAGAACTCAAGGTGAGCACAGTTACTGATTTTGGCATTGCAATTCAGTCTTTCTTACTGTCTAAGTCAAACTAGTACTCTTCACTGGTGCAGGAAGATACAGGGATAGTCTCAACAAATCCCTTTGGAAATTTATTTTTAAGAACTCTCTATCCATCTGAATGGAAGACAATCTTATTTCCCAATAATTTTCTCACAATTAGCTCAAATATTAGCACTAAAACAGTGAACAACATCTGTTTTACAAAATCTTTATTTTTGTAAAGACATGCTCCACCACATCTAGGAAAAAAAAGGCAAATGATGGACTCCTTCAGGACAGGAGTTTTCCCACAGTGAGTATGACTAGTAAATGAAATGTCAGACCCTCTCAACATACAGGCAACTGTGTGCATAAAAGTGACCCCAAGATACACTGTTCAGGTGTACAACAGCTAAAAACACTTACCAGTGTTTTTCTCAGGTGCTCGTATTCTGGACAATACTCTCTGAAAAGGTGAATAAAGAGAGTGCATTCAGTCTGAAAAATACATGATTTGTATTACATAAGGATCATCCTGGAGGCTTCTTTTTACCCCAAAAAAAGTTTTCTCTAGGCTTTCGTGTTTGAGAGACATTTCAGAAAGACTAACAGTACTTTTTTCCCCATATTTGGATTCTGAAACCAATGGATGCAAAATCAATGAACATACTTCATTAAAACAGCAACAATTCAAACCTTGGTATGGAATTACATGAAAAAAATTACTTCACAGATTTGCTGGCACAGATAGCTTTTACTTTTTCATGGAACAGCAAAAAAATTCATCTCTGAATAGTTCCTTTTTACTGCTGCTTTTTATGCTGATACTAGACACTCTAAGCTACCTTGGCTATGGCAACTGTACACTCCTTCAAACCAAAGGAGCAGACTCATGAATCAGGACCTTCAGGAAGCGGTCACTGGGTCGCGGACCAAAAGTTATCCCCTTACCTCTCCTATTCATCTACAGCTTTAGAAAGCTGGATAAAAAACTCCCCCAGTCCTGTGCCAAGCACTGCAGAAACACCAACCACCTGGAAAAGAAAACACATCGGAACTAGAGAGTAACCGAGCCAGATTTTTAATACAGAAAAAAAAACCCAAAATAAAAACAAACAAACAAACAATCCCCCACAACAGCAACAAAAATCAACACCACCAAAAAACCCACCAACAACAAATAACTACTAATCTAAACCTAACAATAGCCATTTAATCAGCACAGTGGCCCAAGAGTGGGCAGTAACACTTCTGCTTCTGTCCATCCCGCTTTCAAACTCTTCCTCCACTTGCTGTTCATGTTTGTTACTTCTGCTTTTTGGTTCTCCCAAACAGTGATGAGATTTATGGGCATGCTTGAAAATTTCCTGTGAGAAATTCATAACTAAGAAGTATGTGCTATCTTGAGTTGAAGGCATCAATTTGACAGACACTTAGTACAGCAAACTCTTCAAAAGAAGAATTGACTGCTGCCTCTTTGAACAGTAGGTGAGAGAAAATGACAGTCTAAGGGAAGACAAGAAAAGCAGAACTGTAATCAGCAGACTTTTCTTCCATCTCTCCCAAGAAAGTCTAGTTTATCTGTTCTAATTCTATGCCCTTTTCTACATGAAACTTAGACCAAGGCTGAAAAAATAACTAGAAGACATGGAGAGAAGCTTTTTAGAATTTCACATGATTTTCCCAAACTGATCCCAGAAAAGCAGAACTCAGTAGAATGTACTCACCTCGATGCATTTTGTCTTTTTTACAGAAGCTTCATCACCTGATTGAAAAAGCAGAGTATACTTGGTATTTAGGCTCACAACAGGAAACCTTCATCTTTATTTCATAAAAGAAACTACATAAATTTGCACAGCTGCAAGCGTGTATCCAGATGTTAGAGTCTTTAAGCTTTTCAGAGGGTGAGAATGCCCTGCTAAGGAAGGCTGACAAATGCTCGGACCCTGCACAGGTCAAAGACAACCTTGGTTTTGTCTGCGTTCTAGTACCTGGCTAAAGAAATGGTAGAACAACCGCAGTTGTTCCTTGACTTTTCACTAAGAGATTGCCAGGGGCTGGGCCAGCCTGGGCACTCCCGAGGTAGCAACAGCTTTCTGCGCTGGCACCTTTTGGCCGGGAGGAACCTTCGTCCCTGTTCAATTCTGGGAATCGGACTGGCAACACAAGCCAAGTCACCGGCAGAATTCTGGACGTTTGGTCTCTTCAGAGTGCCCACAGCGAAGGGAAAAAGAACATTTGGTTCACTGTCCCGAGGACGGAAACAAACAAAAAACCACACCACCAGACTGAATTCACCTGCAGAAGCCCAAATTCACCGAACGCCTGCTGAATTCAGCAGGAACACACTCCCTCGACCACAAGGCATCCTTAGGACGTCTCAAACTCCGGATTTAAGCTCTGAGAAGCCCGTGAGTGACAAAACACTCCAGCTCTCCACAGGCGCCGCTTCCGAGCCCCCCCCGAGCGCCGGGCCCTGAGGCCTCACAGTCGCCGCCTGGCGGACACGGCCGGGAGCGGCACTGCAGCCGCGCGCCCCCCCCCCGCAAGACCCGCGGCGCCTTTCGCAAGTACGGGCCTTTCTTCCCTAAAACCTGCTCTTACCTAGGAAAAGCTGAGCAATTCACAGAGTTTCCATCCCAGCTTCCCAAAGGATTTCTCTCTCCTGGCAGCACAGACCCTCCCCGGGGAACTGCAATGCCAGGGCACATCCGAACCCGGCCCTGTCACCTGCCGCTCTCTCCGCCCCTTCTTCTCGCGGCGGCACGCAGGTGCAAGTTTCTCCGCAGAGGTGAGAAACTTGCCTGTCGCTTCCCCTGCCTGCAGTCCCCGATGGCCGCGGGAGAGGCAGAAGAGCGGCCGCGACCCGGGCCCCGCTTACCCCGGGGACGACCTCCTGGAGAGCCCGACGTCGGATCTGCCGCCGTGGGTCGCTTCCGGGGGTGGAAGGCGGCGGCGCAGCCCCGACAGCATCTCCGGGGCACGGCGGGACCGAGCGGGGCGGGGGCGGGGGCGGGAGCGGGAGCGGAGCGGAGCGGAAAGGGGCGGGCGGCGCGCCGAGCCCCGCCGTCTGCCTGGGGTCCTCGCGCCCGAGCCGCGGGCGGCGGTCCCGAGGAGGGCTGCCCGCGCCGGTGCCTGCCACCGCCCACGAACCTGCCGCCCGCGCCCGGCGCCGCCGAGCGCGCCGCCCTGTCCCCGTACCGGGAAACAGCGCGGCGAGACGGCGCTGCGGGGGCGGGGTGGGTGTCCGGGTCGGGGCGGAGGTCAGGCAACAGGATAGTCGCCCCTCTGGGAGAAGGGGGCCTCTCGCCGCCATCTTGTGTGTGGCCTCAGCTAAGTTCCGGTCCTGGTGGCGCCATCTTTAGTGTGGCCTCGGCGAACTTCCGGGCCGTGGCCGCCATCTTTGTGTACGGCCTTGGAGGACTTCCGGTCTGGGCGCCGCCATCTTTCTGTGCGGCCTCGGAGGAAAGACTTCCGGCCCCGGAGGGCGCCATCTTGGGTGGTGCGCCGTCGAAAACAGTCCGGTCGCTCTCTATTCCGGTGCCCCCGGACAACGTCCCTCACTAATTTCTGCGCTTTCGCCTCGAAAATCTTCATGTTATTCCCCCCGCACACACCCCGGGAGAGACGGGAGACCACGAGCCCCGTCGTGCCGCGGGAACCGGCCCTTAAGTTGAGCAGGGAGCGCTGCAGCGGCACGAGAGCCACTGCGCATGCGTCGCCGGTCCCGCTTCTGGCCGCCCTTAATGACCACGTGATCGCCGGCGTGCTGTCAACGACTGCGCATGCGCCGGCACCGTCGCCTTGACTGCCCCCCCACCATGTGACCACCCGGCTTCGCTCTCTTCCTGCGCGCGCCTCACCCGCTTTTCTGGGGCCCCGTCCTCACATTTCGCGGCTCCCCCGCGGCTTTTTCGGCACCCCGGGGTTCCCCCACCCACGTTTTGGGGTCCCCTTCTCACATTTTAGGGGTGACCCCCCCAATTTACGGGTCGGATGGCGGAGGGGAGAGTAAATGGGGTACCCAAGAAGGGTTTTCTCTTTTTTTTTCTCTTTTATTTCACTTTTCATTTTATTTCCTTTTTAGTTTTCTTGCTTTTAATTTTTTGTAATTTTCTTTTGTATTTTATGTTTCCTTTTTTATTTCGTTTATTTTTATATTCTCTTTATTTTTCATTTTCTCTCCCAGTGCTCCCCAGTAACACCCAGTGCTCCCCTGTAAACCCAGTAACACCCAGTAAACACCCAGTGCTCCCCAGTAACACCCAGTGCTCCCCAACAACCCCCAGTAACACCCAGTGCTCCCCAAAAATTGACCCAAAACTGACCCAAATCACCCCAAAAAATGATCAAAAGCTGACTCAAATTCACCCCAAAAACTGATGCCAAAAACTGACCCAAAACTGACCCAAATCACCCCCCAAAAATATCCAAAACTCACCCAAATCACCCCAAAAACTGACCCAAATAATCCCCAAAACTGACCAAAAACTAACCCCAAATCACCCCAAAAACTGATCCCAAACACCCCAAAACCTGACCCCAAACTGGCCCTAAATCACCCCAAAAACTGCAAAAAAACCCCTCCAAAACCTGAGTCAAATCACCCCAAAAACTGACCCGAAAATTGATCCAATTCACCCCAAAAACTGATCCAAAACTGACGCAAAACTGGCCCCAATCACCCCAAAAACTCACCCCAAATCGGCCCAAAATCTGACCCACAAACTGCAACAGAAAACCCCAAAAACTGACCCAAAACCACCCCAAAAACTGACCCGAATTCACCCCAAAAACTGACCCCAAACCCCAAAAAACTGACACCAAGACTTACTCAAATCGCCTCAAAAACTGACTCAAAACTGACCCAAATCATCCCAAAAACTGAGACCGAAAACTGACTCCAAAAATGACTCAAATTACCCCAAAAAATGACCCAAGAAGGGTTGCTTTTTTCTCTTTTATTTCACTTTTCATTTTATTTCCTTTTTAGTTTTCTCACTTTTATTTTTTTCTTTAATTTTCTTTTGTATTTTACATTTCCTTCTTTATTTCGTTTATTTTTTATTCTCTTTATTTTTCATTATCTTTTCTTTTCTTTCTCGTTTGGTTTTTATTTTTTTTAGTTCTTATTCTTCCAGAGAGGAAGAACACTGCAGCTCCTCTGGGCCAGAGAAAGGCTCCCCTGCTCTTCCCTTAAACACAACGCCTGCAGTCAGTGCCCTGGAAGCCCGCTCCGCTCATGCCAGGCACCGGGGCTCACCCAGAGGGGCTTTGCCAGCATCCCGTGGAAATTAAAATTACAGCCTGGGCAAAGGCCCTTCCGGCAGGAGCGCTCCTGGCCAAGGCCACCGGTCTGTGCAAGTCAGACCACTGACCACCCAGGGGGATTTTCAGGGGCATACTTCCAGCTTTTATTCTCCAGAAACTCCAGTTCTTTCTGGCACCGCTTGCTTCAGTCTTCCCTTGTTGGAAGAGGTCACTTAGTCTTTCGAGGGGCCGCATTGCCAAAGCCCGGCCAGTCCATTCCCACAAGGAAAGGCAGCTTCGTCTTGGACAGGACACTGGGGGGGGAGACACAAAATAAAAGTTTAATTTAAAACTTCCTGGAATAGAAAGCAATTCAAACATAAGGCAGACAAGACTTGTGCAAAACTGAATACATTTGACTTCAAAGGATAATTATTTTCCTCTGCACCAAATAGAATGTAATTTTCACCTAGGTTACAAGTTACAATACAGTACAACCCACAGATGCAATACATTGTATTCCAATGGTCAACACAATTACAAAACAATACACAGCAATACCAATAAACCACAAAAAAAGGCAAGACAATAGAAAATGAAACCTTCTTTCTACAAACGTGATTGAATTACTTTTCAATTTGACACCAGATGCAAATCAAAAGCAAAAACCCACACACACTCAGTGTTACATTCCTTCACTCATAAACCCCCTGGAGTTTACACATAATCCCACTCTCACTCACTCCTGAACAACTCCATTACCCACCAGCAACTATCGGGATAAATGCACAGCACTCTCTCAGGAACACAGTTCCTGGGAAGC